GCTGCAGTAAGGACAGCCTTGTACTACTGTACCTGTTCAACTTTCCATGTGGATTCAACGTGGAAACCACCTGAGCTGGACATGAGAGCTATTCCACAAGCTGTCACGCTATCATGGAGCAATAGAATCAGGGGGAGACGACCTTATGACTCCCTGGTGTGTAAATTAGCCGAGCGTAGATAAATCTATCACATGGAAGCCCTGAGGTGTGATAGCTCACCTTTAACACGGCAGATATTGGCCTCACAGGTGCAGCTCCTTCCCCGTCGCCTCAAGCTGTTAGATTAGCCCTGACCTCGCCATGCCTCCTGAACGTTCGGGAGAGCAGAGATGTTGGAGATTTTGTGTTAGCGTCTCTCTAACCTTACTTTATTGAAAAGTAAAATGTCTTGCCTTATTCATACGAACAAAACTGAGGTGAAAAAGATTTCTCTGCAACTTTTGCCACCTAGCATAATAATAATCTACTGGGCTGATGTGTAGGGGAAACAAGACTGAGAAAGTAGCCTAAATAACCATTTGCTGGCCAATTTATTTTTGTGGACTATTGTGTTGACTGCTGTGGTTCACAGCTATACAGTATATGTAAAGCTACAATGTGATCACGTACATTTCTTACTTTATATGCATAATGATAACACAACTTTAGATTTTGTGCAGGTGATGAATAGAAACTCTTAAAACTGCAAGCAAAGAGCCTAGAAATCTGAAGTCTCAGTACCTTGCTTTATCCATTGACCAAGACTGAGCACAGCCTTTATCAACCTGGGGGCCCTGCTTGCCGTCATGAATATGTATGAGAATGCCAGTAAACAGAAAGGACTCATTAAAATATTGTTTAGCGGACTTGGGTCACGCCCTCTGTACGGTAATCTTGACCCTTGCTGTCTCGGGATGCGCCTCAAACCTGCACCATTTTGACTTTTCAACCTGTGGAGAAGCACTTTGCCTGAGGGACCTTTCTGCTAATAGCTGTGTGGTTGAAAAACCTGTCAACACCTAAGTTTCAGTTCCTTTTCTCCTCTTTCTTTCTCCTCCATCCTTGCTTTCCCCTCTCCACATTTCATCTTTCCTGTTTAAGCCTTTTGTCCCCTCCAAAGTACGAATTTAGTCAAGAGACGTTGTAGACAGGTAAAGTGTTGTGGTGTTACTTGTTTTTTTTTTGTCAACGAATCACAATCTCACGTCATTCAGTCACGGCTGAGGATCCGAGTTTGTCACAGCTTTGAACATCGATCTATGCAGGCTCACATTTCAGATCATATCAGGGATGTTTCTTATCTCGGAAAACAACACCAGAAGCAGCAACCAGCAGCAATAAGCAGGTTCCCCAAAGTGTGACAACGCATACAGCTAGTTCCCCACAAGGCATCATAAGTGTTATAGTCAGTGCTGTTGCATAAAAGTTCATTTGGCTGCTGTTTTATTTCATATACTCACATATGGCTCTGCAGAATGATGTGAAATTATGTGTTCTATTAACCTGCTGGGTTATGTTTGGATTGATTATTGTGCCATGATTTCATAGTTTGCTGAACTTACTGGGCAAATGAGAAACACCTGTAATCTAATTAACTGAACCAGTTTATGCCAATTAAGACATTTAGGAAAAAACTATTTATTTTTCAACAAAATCAGTTCACATCAGCAATTCTATGTTTTTCTTTTTTCTTCTTTCCATGGAGTCATACAGTGATTATATGATAACGTCATGTCATATATTTTACATTTTGTTAAATTTTAGTTAAACAAACAAGTCACTTGGTGGTTTTGATTTAGTCATTTGAAGTTTGTGTGGAGATTTGATGTCGTCTTTGGATTTTCACTCTCTTTGCTCAGTTCAGCCATAGTGTTTTATTACAGCTTGTGTTAACGATCACGCTCTTCTTTTCCTGTTTATTCCACATAAGTCATGGAAATTTAAATATACGGAAATCATGTGGATTATTTCTTTAAGCAGAGCCGTGTTTTCTTTCTTAACCGCGCCCATTTCTCTTGCTCTGTTCTGAACACTTTTTCTCTTCTCATTATCCTGTTTACTTTTATCTTCGTTTTTGCTCTTGTATAATTAATGTGTAGCTGTTAAGTGAAAATAGACACATATTGCAATGAAAGCATAAATAAGCAATACAACCGCACAGTGCTCAGGATAATATAAAGGCAGATTCAAGAATCAGGACAACAAACTCATAAAAAATAAGAAATAAAAGCAAACAAATGCCAAGAGGAGGAGAGAAAGAAACACAACATTGGTATTCACAGCAGTGTACTCATGTAGTTACACCCTTTAATATCCACCTGTCACAGCTTTTTCCATTGCGTCATCTTCTTTCTCTCTCTGTCCCTTTTCCCTTTTTGCCATCTGTCCAGGTGCTAGTATTTTCCCAGACGTGCTATTAAAAAGGAGGCTAGTGCTCTTTCACTTGGCGCTCAAAGGCACTGTTTTGCCCTTCTTGTATTGACTCAGAAACATCCTTCCTTTCCATCTGTAAATCTGTTTAAACCCTTCCTCTTCACAAGATCCGTTATTCAGGGTTTGTCACCTGTGTCTCCATGAATACTGATCTCAATTAACCTGCAGACATTTTGTAGTGCACACTTAGAGCGTGGCACAATGCACCAAAAAAGGTTCAGGAGCTCGTCCCTGTACTGTTCGCTGTAGCAAATATTGTGTTCTTAAACATGAGCTCGTTTATGGGCTCTTGTCAAAGTGATAAATGTGATCAGTAGATTTACTGATACGTCAATTTAACAAGCAACAAAACTAAAACATTTGCTGGTCAAAGCATGTCGAACGTGAGGATTTACTGCTTCTCTCCTTTTTATATGACTGTAAGTTGAATACCTTTTAGGTTTTTCCACTGCTTGCATGTGTACAGAAATGTTTCATGTAATTTCATGTAAACATTTGTCCTTTGGAAAGGTGCAGATGTCTTTTAGAGTGATTTGAATTTTGGTGTATTATGTAAATGTTCCCTTCTTTATCACAACAGTTTCAATATGAATGTTTCAGTTTGTCAAGTCTGTCTTGTGAAGCATCTCATGATCATTCAGGTCAGTTCAAAACAGTGAGGGACCTCAAGTTCAGTCAGTGATGTTACTTGACTTGACAGAACACATGTACAGGACTTTTTTACTTTAAAATATTTTTCATGGCAACTAGCCTAAATTTCTACATCGCTCACCACATGAACCAACCGATAATTAGCAACAAGCTCAAGGCTCATTCTTTCCAAAGCAGTGAAGTAATTGTGTGTCTTTTGTGTCACTGCTTTCATCTCCCCACTGAAGTCGTATCAGACAGCGGCACAGCGACTCTTTTGGTAGACCGAGAAAGGAGGTTTAAATTCCGACACTGTAGAGACTTGTAAGGAGTGATACGCTTCTTAGTTCCCGTCTGTGTTGAATGAATCTAATGCCCTTACAAATACACACAACCCACTTCACCTCCTGAGATGTTAAAACATGCTGCAACCTGAAAGAAATATTCTCTTACACATACATACATGTGGAGGATAAGAAATTGTTTGCTGGCGGGTGCAGATATACAGTGTAGGTCTCGCATGTATAGACCGTGGCAGCACCTTGTCAAGTATGTGTCAAAAAATCAGTGGCTGATACTCATGCAAGGAAAGTGGTTATGCTAGTTCTGCTTAATCTAGTGAGAAGGTAAATTATCAGCATTTTGTTTATATAATAAAAAAGACTTTATACCTTTTTATGGCTGCATGACTGAGTTTATTGTTGAAGAAGCTAGCAAGAGGCAGCTAGATTTAAAAAAAAATATAAGAAATCCCACTCTCTCCCTTCAGGCCTCCCTCCAATCATTTCATCCTGGCCTTATTACACTATACACTACTTAAAAAAGTAATTAAGTATGTGTCTCTCAAAATACTGGATGTGATAGGACTTGTTTTTTTTAACTACACGTTACTTGAGCTTTTTTTTGCTTCTATCACTGAACTCTCCCTGCCTATATTTGGCACAGGCCTTTTATTCCTTTCACGCAAAACTCTTGATCTGCAAAGAATTAGGCTATCAAATAACATATCAATCTTGAATCATTAATTTGATCTAGCTCCGAGAGACAGCACATCCAGGAAAACCTCATGCACAGAGACAACATGCCGGGAAATCTGAAGAGGCTCGGTGGGCTGTAAGAGGTTTTATACATCCAAAGAACTTCTATAAAAACCAGACCACGTCTAGACCTACAGTTATTTGTCCAAATGTTTAGCCACTCCCAACCAGTAAAAGGGACTCAGCATTTAATTGGGGCTCGGCTTTTAATTGAAGTTTTACTAAAACTACTGTAAAGACAAATCAACCTGCACTAAACGATTTGTGTCCAATAAATATGAAATAATTGCATTTATTTTCTATACCTTCATTTATCCCAATATAGTATTCTAATCATACATGTTCTTTTTCACAATACTTAATTTATAACAATAATTAATTCTGATTATTGGCTCTAATGGGATTAAACCCTGAACCCTTAATAATTTAATATTTTCCCCCACAGACACTCAAGCTCACAGACGATCCCAAAGTTCAGTGTGAAAGATAATTGGCTGATAGAAATATGGTCGTTTCCTAATTTGGTTGGCCTTTGGCTCACTGTGTGCTGGACTGACTTTTGTAAATGAACTGCTGTTGCCTCATTAGAGTCTGGTCTGTTTTAACACCCAGTAAACTGTTGAGACTAATGACAGAGTGGGCTGTTATTTTTCATCTGCTAATGCTAAAGTACCTTACTTCTCCGGGGATTAATTATACTGTGTTGAACTGAATTGGAATTAATGAAACACTTTGTAATACTTTGGGACAGAAACTGCACATCAAATTGTCCTACTTTTACCACAGCAGATTTATTGTGTGTATGCTGTAGGCGGCTGTGTACATGTTTTACATCCTTTTTTTTCATTTTACAATATGTTCCTGCACACCAAAAGTGGGCCAGTCTGATAAGTTCTCATTTTCTGCCTGTTTGTCTTTAGCATCAGAAGGGTTTATGTGTAAGACTCCGGCCATAGCCGACATTGTTATTCTGGTGGATGGCTCCTGGAGTATCGGCCGCATCAACTTCAGGCTGGTCAGGACTTTCCTGGAAAACCTGGTCAAGGCCTTCACTGTGGAGTTTGACAAGACTCGAATTGGTGAGGAGTTTTTAATGTCTGGATTTCTATTCTATATTCATATTTTTGGAGGATATATTCCTTTGAAATGCCTTATTTTGCCTCATCTTGACTCAAGTCTGTTGTTAGCAAATCAGCCTATTTTTGGGGGTGGGTATGTATAAAGTGAGCCACAAAAAACGTTTCTAATGGTGTAATGTTGCAGGCATGGACTGCAATAACCATGTGACTAGTCGCCTCAATATGACTTTTTTTTGCAGGCCTGGCTCAGTACAGCGGAGACCCCAGAATCGAGTGGCATCTTAATGCTCACACCACCAAAGGGGCTGTGATCGATGCTGTGAAGAACCTGCCATATAAAGGAGGAAACACACTAACAGGTATGATACGCTGCCAACTGAACCCGTCAACCAATCAATCAGTTTGACCATCATTCTCACCACTCACAGCAGATGAGCATTACGAGGAGCTCCAATGATATTGAGGCGTTGATATCATCCAACATTCATACAACTTTGTATTGACTGTAAACAAACTGCCAGCAGCTCAACAAGACTTACCACTTTAGATTGTGTCCGGTGTTGGTGTAAAGTTCAGTGGTACCAGGTCTGAACAAGAAGAACAGACAAACCAGTCCAAGGGGTCAGGGATGGGAGCAGAAGTCCACATCAGGCAGGGGTCGAGCAGGCCACATGCAGGTAGTAACAAAAGTCTGGACCACTATGGCTCAAGAATGAGGAAAAGTGGGCCGGTATATTTGCCACTGGGCTAATGAACGAAGTGGGAACAGGTGTGCAGATGGGCGGGGACGGTCATGTAATAGGGAATGGCGGGAACAGGGGTTACTGCTGTGCCAGGAGGGAGTGGCAGGATCTGAAATGACATGGAAACAAAGCAGGCAAGAGAATGTGAGAACTAAGAGTTTACTGACATCGTGACAGTTGGTTAACTTAGAATAGTCTGTTAGGGGTAAAGTAAAACATCAGTAATGTCAATATTGGACCCAACAGTTGTTAACACAACACTCTCTCAATTTGTCTTCTTCCTTACGTACAATTGTGTTTTTTGAGTCCCTAAGTGCATTCACACTGACAATTGTGGCAAAACGTATTGTTTAACCACTGAGTACCAATGTACTGTTGTCAGATGGAAGCCATCATCATGTTTAATGGGTGAATTTGGCAGAAATGCTCTGTCCAGTTGTGATTCAACATAAAAAAAAGTAAAAGCAGCAATCACATGTTGGGGTAATTATTTCCGGTAAGTGCACAACAGACAAGCTCGAATTGAGACAATAGCCTGTCAAAATTCACGCACTACACAAGTACACAGTGTACTACATGGGAGTATCCGAATTGAGACACGGCATTTGAAAAAAATTGTCGAGCTACTTTAAACCCATCATGTTCGTCTTTGAGCCAAGACATCGTAATCAGTCATTTCAGCTGTCCTCACTACACCTCAGAGGGAAACTGTAATCATACCGTCAGCCAGAACTCAACTTACTCTAACAACTATTCTTTAAAAAAGTACTTTAAGTGATTCTAATTTTCTGCTGACAGTCATTTTTACCAGTAGATGTAATTTTGTCCAGCAAATGATGAATACAGCATGTCAAAACAAGGAGAGGGAAAATGGGAAAAATAAATTATTTTCCAGGCTTCTACAGCACATTGTGATTAATTTCAAAGATTTAAAACACTGCATGTTACGAAATGGCTTACTTCTATTTTGCATTTAGCTTTTGTGATTATTCTGATAATAAAAACTACTGTTTTCGTCTTAAAGTCACTTTATTCTTAAATATAGTTTTAGTTTCTGCACACGAGCGATGTATCACGTAGTTTCCCTTCTTGGGCTGCAAGCTTAAACCCTGCTGAATGCAACAAAGCTACAACACATAGTGCATTTAAAACATTTTAAGTAAGCAATCACGAAATAATCATGTCATTAATACATGTATTTTTTAGTAGAAAAGTTTCGAGTTTTCTCATGTTTCTTTGGTTAAATCTTTCTTTTACCTGACATAGCCAGTTAATTGTAATATTATCTTTGTCACTCTGTATTCACTGTATCCTGTCTCTGTCTGTCCAGGTCTGGCCCTGACCTTCATCCTGGAGAACAGCTTCAAACCTGAGTCTGGATCCAGGCCCGGCGTTCCTAAGATAGGAATCCTCATCACTGACGGGAAGTCACAGGATGATGTGATACCACCTGCACAGAGCCTGAGGGAAGCTGGGATAGAACTCTTTGCTATTGGTACGCTCCACCACCAACACTAAGATAATCCAGAAGAATAACAGGAATAGTTATATTTAGTTTATGTTTATTGAAGACATCAACATGGGGATGGTGGTGCTTGAAAAATGTATTCAACAATTCCACTAGACTTTGTTGCTAAAAAGCCAAAAACTGGTCACGTCATTGCTGGATTGAATTGTATTTTGAAAAGAACGTCTTCCTTTGATTTTTCTTCGACCCACGGTCTTTACAGATTGATGCTTCAGATTCTTTGATTGCGGCTCTGTTGATCTTCATAGGCTAGACACAACCATTACAGTGAAAGACGTAGTTTCTATTCCTTTGTAGTCACAGTGTAATTTCAACGTTTCCACAACAGTCTCTGCTTTTGTTATGTAACAGTAGCACTGCCTTCAATTTTGATAATAGGTTAATCATTCCACTGATTCATTCGAAAGAATACCAAACAGCGTCTCAGATTGCTGCTGTTTTTCTTCTGTTTAATATCATTGTACATTGAATATCTTTGGACTGTTGTGGGAAGAAACTTTTTCATTATTGAGAGCTTAATCAATAATGAAAACAATCATTATCATTGTTTGCAATCCTAAAAACATAAAGGTGAGTCATTGTTCACTGTGACGGATTTCAATATCCAGAAGTTGATTTTCATATTCTGCTGAAATGAACTGAAACAAATGAATTTCTGAAAGGAAGGAAATCCATCTTAAATCTTAGTGTCCCTTGGACACAGTCAGCAGGGAAGATATCCTTGTTTTGGAGTTATTAGACTAAGACTTGCAATACCACAGTTGTGTTTATTTAACAAATTTCAGCTTGTAAACCTTCATTATAGAGTAATTACTTAGCTTTTTAGGAGAGCACACATTCAAGGGAAGGCTACGTGAGAAGACCTGAACATGGATTCTAATTGTCAGCACTCAGGTCAACTTAATATGATGCATTCATTTGCATCACAAATTAATTTTCCCTTTTAAGTAAATTAAGACTGTATATATTCATCGAATTGTTGCATCATCAAAAACTTATTTCAAACACCTTTCATGTCGCCACTTTGTGTCAGTCGGCTTACTCCATCTCTCAGTGTACTTCTCTCCGTCTGTCTCTCTCTCTCCTCTCTGCAGGTGTGAAAAACGCTGATGAGAACGAACTTAAGGCCATCGCCTCACCACCTGAGAAAACTCACGTCTACAATGTGGCAGACTTCGGCGTGATGAGCGACATCGTGGAAGGCCTCACCAAGACCATCTGCGACCGAGTGGAGCAGCTCGACAAGCAGCTCAAAGGTTTGAACAGCAGCTCGTTTCAGCTGAGAGCTATGACAGGCTGATACCACAAAGACACTACAGGCAGCTCGTACTGTGATTACACTGGTTATAATTATGACTACAGGAGATCCCCGAGCAATAAAACCCAAGTCCCCATCTAATAATGTAGCAAACTCATCTAAGTTACAACGTGCCTCCACCTTTATGAAACCTATATATACACATGCTGTTTAAAATACCAGGTAAGCATTTACAGCTTGTCATTTTCAAGTTTGCACATACAATGCGATTGTTTCATCTCTCAGCGTTTGCCATCCAGTGTTTATGTAAATCCAACATGGAATGAATACAGAATGTGCTTTCTTTTTCTTTTACTGTGCTTTTTCTCCAGGCGGAGGAGAACCTGCTCCCCCGTCCACCTCCGTGGCTCCGCCCCGCGACCTGGTGACATCTGAGATCACGGCTCGCAGTTTCCGGGTGAGATGGACCCACGCACCAGGCCAGGTGGAGAAATACCGCGTGGTCTACTACCCAGCCAGCGGGGGACAGCCAGAAGAAAAGGTATCTGGATTTTTTAAATCATAAAGACATGCATGCAAATGAATCATATTTCCTCACATGTTGCATCATTGCTGCATTGCTGCTTCTGTTCTTTGGCTCCAGCTGTGAATCTCATGCTTCTTTGCCCATGGTTCTTAACAGTATTTGTGAAGCTTGTTTTACAGTTATTCTGCCACAATGAACAATACTTCGAGTTAATGTTTTTAATCCAAGCTTTTATTGGAGTTGTCCAACAGAATTTAAATTAATCCAATCAACTGGTTATTAAGTGGTTCATCTGTTTCACTGGCACCTTATCGATGACAAGAGGAGGTTTCCTTTTGTCAGCTTAATTGGTGGAACTTTGCTCCTGATTTCTCAGCAGTAGGCAAACAAGATACTGAGATACTGTTGTAATGGCAGCACTTTAATTAAGGCGGCTCAGTTAATCCTTTTAGGGTCAATTCCGCAAAGTTAAATTAATTCCTCAAAGTGATTTGCATCATAAATAACAATTCTGCAGAGTTGAGTAGTTGTGGTACCCCCACAAGACATCAGGAAAGAATCTGAAATAAATATATGCAGTTTGTGGTGCTGTTGAATTGCTTTGTGGTCACACTGACAGTTCTTTCTATTATTTTGTCAACCCCATTTTTATCAATGAGGAAAGGCTAAATAATAGAAAAGCCTATCTGTAAACTGCTTCCTCCAAAATTACCCTACAGTTGAATTAACACTTCATGGAGGTCTGTTGAGCAACCTAGTAAACTTGCAACTGAGTATATTTTGTGGGTGTTTCCCCCGGTGACATAACTGTGAAATATCTTCAACCTGTGCAGAAGTCTCCCTACCTGTGTAACAACACATACATGCAGTGCTGTAATTTCCTGAGTTGATATTTTTAAAATTGTACAGTTATTTTTATCCAGTTCCTCTTTGATGTTTATTACAGCTTGGAACTGGATCGACCCGGTTTTCCCCACAAGGAAAACAGAGGTTTCATCAAAGCTAATCTGATTTAGTTACACTCAATTTAAATCTCCTTTTGGAGAAGAGCTGAATGCCTACAGCAACATGTGGTGTGTTTTCAACCGTGCAATATGCGGATGCCTAATAAACAGAAGCTTTTTGAATATTTTAATGCTTTTTGATATACAAAGTGCTGCTGTTTGTTATAAAGTGAGCACAAAATCAGAGCTAATTAAAGATATTTTTAAACAATAATGGTATCAAAGATTTAGCCCCCTGAGCACACAGCTGAAATGTCTCACAGTAATGAACATGGCAAACAAAGCTGGTCTGTATAAACCTGAGCTGACTGACATAACATTGTGAAAGGTTTCACTGTAGAAATACTAAATAAGACTGGAAGATGTTCATTTTTGAGTGTAAAGCAATGTTGTAGCATCCAGGCTAAGGCCCATTTTGCTCTGTCCTTAAGGTGGTCCAGGGAACAGAGAACAATGTGGAGCTGAACTACCTGAACTCGCTGACGGAGTACCAGGTGGCTGTTTTCGCCATCTACCGCAGCTCTGCCAGCGAGGCCCTGAGAGGAAGTGCTACCACCTGTAAGTTTACATGTTATATAAGGATACAATGAGGACATGGGGGAGTTGTTGGGGGGGCATGCAGGTGGTGTTAGAAATACAGTGAGGTGTAGTTTTGGCTTTAAGAATCACTACTGCAAAAGAGTAAGATCCTGTTCGCCCCTCAACTTCCTGCAGTCTCTTATGGAGGGATTCGCAAACTTTTCCTCTGCATTTTGGGAAATGTCGTCCCTCCGTAATGTCTCGTTCCTCCAAAAGGAGGTAAACAAATCATCCTGCTGAACTACCAGCACCACTTCTTCACTCTATCACCCTGTAGAAAAGTTATCATTAGCTTTTTCTAATGACCTCACCCAGGACCTGTTCTTAATTTTTGATGAGCCCACGTTCCCTCAACCATCTGCTTACTCATTCATTTCCTAATTGTCTAAATTGTTGCGATCTTTGAAGCAGAGGCTCCTGGAGTTCTTTCACTAATGCAATTCTGATTTTCTGCATTGCAATCGGGTCTTTTTCTGATATGAGTCAGTCAGTATTTCTGATTAATGAAACATTTTAGGCTGCCAGACTGTTAGAGCTGCAAAAAATATCTAAACATGACATATCCAGGTATTAACAGGAGGATGTTAAATACACAAAACAAGTACACTAAACTATAAAGGTCCCAACATTTTTTTTATAAACTTTTATAAACTTTCCCTTTATTTTGCTCTGAAGGAATTGAAGATACAGCACATAGTCTGGACACTCAGTTCAAGAAAAGACACGCATGGCCAGTTACAAGCACAGCATATTTGATAGAAACACTGATCGAGCAGCAGATATGTGTCGTTCTACAACAGAAGACACTGAATGTGGGCCATAAAAAGCTACACAGGTGTTCCATTATGCATTCAAGGCCTGATCCTCCACCTCTGACAGGACTCCTGCGGTGAGCTCTAATTCTGGTTTTGTTGCCTGAGGCCACCGTCACGACGTCTGAAACGCTGAACCAGAGCCCGGCAGCATTCTCCGGCCCTGCGCTCGTTGATGAATGACGGAGGAATCCTCCCTGTCGGTAGAGGATGAATGCTAAGTTGCGAGTCGACCTTGTACCAAAGTTAATGGGGTTTGGCTGCTGATATTGAGCTGCCGCTGCTGGTTGAAGTGGACTATCTGGCTAAGGCAACAAATAAAACGTGCCGCTAAATACTGATTGTGGGATGTTGTGCTCTATCTGTGAGGATATAGAACAGATGAAGAAAATATGTAAGAGTAGAAAGTGAGGTTTTGATATTCTAATTTATGACAAAATGAATAGGAAATTAATCCTGTTCATTTTTAATTAAATGAAAATGGAAAGTAAATGAGTCTGTATGTTAAATTAAAAATAATGTCAAAAGCAGACCCGCGCACTTCACTAGCAAATAAAATGTAGACGATCATTTGAACATTTTGATTGCAGATGTTGCTGTTGCTGTTTTTTTTCTCTTGGGTATGAGATCAGAGAGTAACCTGATGACACTGGCTGAAATAGATTCGGCCAGACTTTGATGATTTAAACATATTAAAGCAGAAAATCTAAAATAAAGTCCAAGACAAGCTGTGTTTTGTTTTCGAATTCAATGTGACAACATCTGACAATAATATCTGTATGAACATGAAATTAACATTATTTTTGGGTGAAATAATGAGTTTTATTTTATTCAGCATATATTGTTGTGTTGTGTTTAAAAGAAGTCTTACATTTGTTCTTAGTTATTCAACAGAATACTGTGTTTGTGACCCGCAGTGGCCCTGCCCACGGTGAACGACCTGGAGCTGTTTGATATCACTCACAGCACCATGAGGGTCCGCTGGAAGACCGCCGCCGGGGCTTCTGGGTACATGATTCTGTATGCCCCGCTGACTGAGGGAGACCCTGCAGACGAGAAGGAGGTGAGTGTGTGTGTGGAGAGTAGTCTATGAAGGGAGGGAAGGAACGGTACAGGATTTCAGGAGCTAGACAAAGTAATGGAAACAACATCACAGCTGTATATCTGCTGGATGATTCGGAGCAGGGCGAGTCTTTGCTGAGCATCGTTGATTTGGATCATGACTGCATCATTTCTGCACCATAGGATCCCATTCCTCCTGTGAATCAGATTCAGTTTTGAATCATACTGCATTGCAGAGGTGGTTTTAACACATCAACACATCGACCTCCAGTTTTTCCTTGAGGGAGCCTTTTAAAAACACATGTGAATCTGTCCAAACCCACTACCATCTAATTTATTCACATCCTGATTAAACAAAACGTCTGCATCAACGATGTAAGGTCAGCATACTGGCTGCCCCGTTCTATACAGGCTTACTTCAAGCTTCACACCTGATCCAAGTTAAATAATTGCAACAAACACACCCAAGTTTCACAGAACAAAAACCTATTTGAAAGAGCTTTTCAAAGTCAAAGGACAAGTTTATTAGTGACACAATGTCTGGTTACTGACCTTTGTGACGTGATTTAATTTTCTTAAGCACCTGTCTACCTAGTGTGCACATATTATTGTGTGAAATAAATATTTTAAATATCTTAGAACATGTTGTAGATGTCCTTGTGGTTTTACTACTTGCACTTTCCTGTTGGATATGGAAGAAGAAATGACATGACTGTAAACGTCACTTTTGACTCTTTTTCAGTCAATAACTATTCGAGTGTCTGTCTTTTGTATATCGAGCACATTATCCTTTATACCCTTTATAAAGCTCAGGAAGTGGGGATAGTGGGAAAGTGAGGAAAATAACAGCGAGCGATGACATTCAATTGGCACTCAGTTGAAGTAGTTAGCCAAGAAATGTTTAAAAACACCATAAAATCAAATGATAGAGGAAACTAGCCACAGCTACAGCTTTTCAAGGCAACAGATGAGAAACTCTAAGCAACTTTTCAGCTTCCTGATGGTGCATGATCCAAAAAACAAAACCAAATGCACTACCCTCAGTGTAACATCACTTTGATTTGAAAACTGTTAAATGGCCAATCAGAGGGCACAACATAAAGCAAAGCTGGAGTTGGAGATCAAAGGTAAGAATACAGAATATTGAAAATAGAAACACACCTCTAGGCAGCCACATACTGAGACAAGCATCGACAGGTAAGAAACTATCTGACAGTGCAAGGGAGACGAGGTAGAGGAGGAGAGGTGTGAAGGGCACAGCCAGCCGTCTGAATCCTTCCTTTTCCCAGTGGACCTCATTACGCCTGCCGTCACATCCCTCTGTGAGCAGAAAGCAATAAAAACAATTTAGGAAGGAATTCAGAATCAGGATGGATGCTCTCAGGTGGTGAGAATAAGCCTGGCTCCCAGGCGCTACTCTCAGTGCCCAGGTTTGGCTGGCTCGTACGGCTTCCACTCGTGGGCCATGTGGGAACTGGTCTGGACCGAAGCCAGAGTCAAATCCTGTCCAGTTTGACTGAGAATAGTGCTTTCATCCACACTGGTTGTGAGGAAAACTCTCTAGGCCCCGATCAGACAGAAAGCGCTTTGCAGGTTCGAAAACGCGAGGCACACAGCACTGCCTTTTTTGGTGGAATTTGGAAAAGAGCAGTGCGCTACGTTATTTTCATGTTGCAAGGCAACCACCGAATCAGCCGTCCTGTCAGTCTAATCAAAGATTATAGTGCCAGCGATCTGTAGGCCTAATCTTTGGTTTGCCGCTAAGTGATATTTGCAGAAACTTGATCACAACTCTCAGGTCTGTGTCTTTTGTTGTTAAAAACATCTGCTTTGAAAAAATAGACAAACGCTTGCTCTGACATTGTTTATGGTCAGAGGTGAACAAACACGCAGGAGACAAGGAAACGGAGATCCGTGTGGGTACATGAGACCCTCAGAAAGGGGAGACACCGCTGATAGGACCACCATCTGGTCCAGGAGCTTCGTCTTGATGATGGACTGTCCAAGGCTTATTTTAGGATGACTCGGGGACAGTTTGTCTGGACAATCCAAGCAACTGTAAACTTCCGTCTCCACAACTGAGGGCCCGTCTCTCAATTCATTCGATTGGACAATGGGAAAAAAACTTGAATGACGTCGGGCGCTTTTCTGCTCAGAGTTGAGCTCTTTTCAACTCTGTGCGCTCAGAGCGCTCCTTAAAAAAACGCAAGGAGCAGCAGGTGCCCAAAAACACGCCCAGAGTGCTTAAACGGCGTGCAGAACACTCAAAGCCAATAGAAAACAATTTAAAAAAGGCGCCTCTCACTGCAAATAAAGATTGGACCCAAGAGAGAGAGAACACACAAATTGAAATATGTGAACATCAGTAGGGAGATGTTACATTTACATTACATTACATTTTTTCATTGAGTTGACACTTTTATCCAAAACGACTTACAATTGCTATGTTGTTGTACGCCTCTGGAGAAACTAGGGGTTAAGTGCCTTGCCCAAGGACACATTGGTGGATTTGTCACATTGGGTAATGAACCTGGGTCTCGACCAAAGGGATGCGACCTATCCTCTGCTCTATCACCACCCCAGATTGTATGTTAGGGTTCTGACTAAAATGGTCTTTGAAGACACATTTCCCTAAAACTACTTTCCTGCCAACTTCTGATGTTGGCAGTAGATAAATAGTAGATTTAAATAAAGATCTTTGGCTCCTGTAACTGACCGAGATGCAGGTGAGCAGTAGAAAGAAGAAAGTGGAACAAAAACTGGATGTCCAATAATTTCCTTCAATTAAATTCCGATAAAACAGAGATCCTCATCATTGGCCCCCAAGCATTTGACAAAACATATTGCCGTTCACACATTGCCTTGGTTTATCAGATCAGGAATCTTGGTGTCTGGTTTGACAGTGATTTATGTTTTGAGCAGCACACCACAAAGCTGGTGCAATCATGTTTTTATTAGAAACATTTCTAAAATCTGACCATTTTACATGCTTTTATTTCTTCACATTTAGACTACTGTAACAGTCTCTTTACCTGCCTGAATCGAAAATCTATTGATCAGCTACAGTATGTTCAGAATTCAGCTGCCAGGCTATAAAACTAGAAATAAGAAACGTGATCATATCACTCCTGTTTTGGCCTCGTTACATTGGCCACAAATAAATGAACGTATGGGAAACACTGGATGCTAATTAAAAAAGAGAAGAAGAAGAGAACTTATACAATTGGGAGACACCTGGAGTTTCATCATTTCTACCACCTGTTTTATCATAGCTGTATGTTGTAGTTTTGAGGAGCCTGTTATGTAATCTCAGCTTGATTCTCTGCTTGTCTGGACACGACCGTGGATTGATAGAGGGATGATAAAAGAGTAGAAGACAGATGGATCAGAGACATGGATAAGATAAGATGGTGGCGAGAGAGATAAGGATGTTTGCTTGAAACACTGCATCCTCTTTATGCTTAAGGCACATACCTTCATATATATATATATGTGTGTGTGTGTGTGTGTGTGCGCAGGTGAAGGTGGCAGACTCTGTGAACGAGGTGGAGCTGGAGGGATTGACTCCGGCAACCGAGTACACGGTAACGGTGTACGCCATGTACGGAGAGGAGGCCAGTGACCCCATGACCAGCCAGCAGACCACATGTGAGTCTCACCCACGAAGCACTGACATGATTCGTCAAATATCTGATTCACCCACTGACAGAAAATCATTAACTCGATTGCTTAAAATGAACAACTCCACCCTCAAATGACCCTCAAATGTTCCCTCTAATTGCTAAATTAATTCCCTTAATTTAACCATGCAGCAGTAGGAAGTGAAGTTACAGATGGTTGTGGCTAATCGGGTCAGTTTGGGAGGAGTGGCAGCAGCAGCTGGTGTGTAATACATCGTAATAAACTGTGTGGTGAGCAGCTCGTCAACGAGAGATCTGTCCTCTAGTTTCTGCTTTTACTCAGATGGAGTCCACACACAGTGGTGTCGGCCAATTTGTCTTTGTCCTGTTGACGCCCATCACGAATGTATTGGAGACTTAGCTGATCGCAGACTGACATATATGTAGATATATTTCAAATTTTGGCTGTTAAACACAATCTTGTGTTATCTCAACATCCCTTAAATTAGTTTGAAGAGAGAGCAGATCACCATAAAGATGTGATGTAGTGTTGACATCATCCAGATCATAAAAAACTCCGCTTCATGGTTCAGGAGCTGCTTGTGACTAAAAATTAAGTTCTTGCCAACAATTTTGATAATTTGAGTCTAAAAATTATTCATTATTCATCACAATTATTTTATTATGGGCTGCAGTGTTTTCAGTTCGGCTGGTTGTTGCCTCCTCAGGTTAATTATTGTTCCAGTAAAGTGGATTCATTGCTAAAATGCGCTGCTGAACAGGTTTCCCGTCACTTTTAAGGACTGGGTGCGGTGGTTGAAAGTAATTTCAACTTTTTAAATGAGTAATAATTAAAAAGTAACTCATTACAATTTCTGAGTAATTTGCCCAACACTGCTAGATATGCTGTATAAACTGATGTGCCGCGAAGACAGAGTGCTGCTTTCTGCCCCCTAGTTGTGCGCGCATCTTGGTGATGAGGTTGCACAGAAACCCATCTATAATCACCTTAAATATACAGTACAGTATTTGTATGTTTGTATGTATTTTTCTTTGAGATTTCTTTTAAGATGTTTTTTTACTTCTTTTTTTTTTTTGCTCTGAAGAGAAAATAGTGAAGACCAGGAAGAAGAAATGAGGCTGTGTTTTCTCAGACTGAAAAGACCAAAACTAACACATGTTATAAAAACACAAAATCTCTTGGGATGTTCTGGCAAAACAAGCATCTGTACTTTTCATAAAATATTATTGGAAGTTGGGCAGTAGATGGAAATACACATATAATGTGTTTCTCACACAAAGACTGTGTGTCCTCACTCTCACACTCATACAGCTGTACTTTTATACTTGTAAAGATCCTAGTTGGTAAAGTATAATACATTCCTTAAGCCTAAACCATTAACCATCGCACCTCCATATCCAACCCTGACCTTTACTTAAACCTAATCCTAACCCTCAACCTGACAGTTCACATTATTGTTTAAATGTGGCCCATATCAGACTCCAGTGTGTAACGGTCACAGCCTGAAAGTGACCCACATGCACAGAAGAATAAAACAAACATCACACCCAGCAGCAGGCTGTGGTACAGAAGTAAACAGAGCCACAGAGGTTAGCTCCGGTTAGCTCATATTTGCTAAGACTCCTGTATTTTATTGCTCTCTCCCGGTTAACACCCGGGTCACATCTCTCCCGAATTATGACAAATGTTCACAACTTTCTGTCCACATATGCCCCACAACTCTCTCTCTCTCTCGCTCTACTACCGCTTGTGACCTGGTGGATTTCACGTGTAACAAAGTGAATTTGTGAAAGACAGCCACATGTATAATAATGACCTTCGTGGAGCTTTGTCGCTCATCGTGGCCCCGTCTGGTGGGGAAATAGCTGCTCTATTGGATTTGGACCACATATGAAAGGGGCACAAATATGAACTGGAAAAGATCACATTCCATGTGACTCGGCCTGTTGACGCTGTCATAAAAAATCAGATCTGAGTCACGTATGAGCGCAGAAATCGAATTTGCGTAACTTTGGCCTGCAGTCTGAACGTAGCTTAAATGTCCTCCCTGCAGAGGTGTAAAAGTGGTCCTCAGAAAGATAGAAGAACATGAACACACACACGCTCACTCATGCAGTAAATGTGGATATCGTTGTGAAACCATCAATGAGCTTTACTAACTTTTGATGAAATTCAATTTCATTAAATTCCTGACAGATTTTATGACCCTCTGAACTCAGATCGCTGCCATTCTCATCATATTTCATTTACAACAGGACGTTTATATTTACTCACAGCTGTCTGAAGCTCTGTAGGAAGGAAACCACACATCTCCCAAAAGACTTGGATATTTATGAATGAAAAGCAAACATTGTTTTTAGAAATCTTACAGTGACGTTTAAGCAGTTTCTGAAGATCTGGGCTGTGATGGGACTCAATGAAAAAGCAGGAAATAGGAAACAGCTTTTTATTCCAAACACCACAAGAGCTAATTTCTCTGATTAACGTTCACTCTGCTTGAAGTTGTTCTAATCAGTCAAGTCAGCTGCTGCAGTTATGCTGACTTTTAATTTGCAGAGTGTTTTGCTTGCAGTTACGTGGCTTTTCCAGGACAGCTGCAGCATGTTCAAGCACGTTTTCTGCCCCGACAAAACTGGCAGCCAGCGATGCCAAAATCACTGCGTGGCGCCGGCCTCCAGCTTCCCCTTGTGGTGCTATTTTTTGCACCTCACTTTCATTTTTAAGAGTTTTAAAGCCTTGACTAGTGCACCTCCCCTCTCTGCCTTCCCCAAATCACCACCATGCTCACTAATTAACATTTTATGAAGTCTCCTTTAAGGTCTGTGGCTTGCGGGTTTAAGTCAGGGCATGTTTATGTCTTTATGATGCGTGTAAGGCTTTGAATGCAGGTCAGATAAGGACGCTAGGGGCTGTTTGAGTGAGTCAGTGGTGGTTTTTGGGGCCGTTGAGGTCTCTCTCAAAGTACTTTATACGGTAAAATAACTCTCCTTCATCCATGTAAGCAGGGCTTCATGCCTCCATCCACGTGTTCAAACCTTGTTCGTGCACACATTCAGTCACTCATCCATTATGTAACAGCAAGTGCACGTTTCTGTTTGTGTGTATTTAATCATTCATTCATCAAGAAAAAATCCACACACTCCCTCTTAGAGTCTCTTGATTAGTTGCTATCATGCAATGTTTATGCCTGGAGTGAAGGTGGGGTGCATGATGTTTTTGTCATCTTACTTGAATTGGTCAGCACCGGGTCATTTATTGAAAACTAATCATCAGCCGGTGTTCACAATTTTCCCCTGTTTCTTGTTTTCTGCTATAACACATGATGCATCTGGGCACGCGGGAGATGGGTTTAATGGGCTTTTCCTTCAGCGTGTTTGTTCACGATCATTTAGACCCCCTCTCTCTGCTTACAGAAGCCACTCGTCCCTCATTTCTTCGAGTTATTTAATAGTTTTTTCTTTCATTGTTGAGACAAAATGAGCTTTAATGATCGCTGGAGTGAAAAGAGCCCATCGCAGCTGCAAAGAAAAGAGCCTTCAGCATGATGGACAATAAAGATAGAGGCTCTTTTTGCAAAATCAGACTTCATATTAGCTGTCGTGACTACAAGCAGTTAAAGATTTTTTCATGTTGTAGATTCATAGTTAAAAACGGATCATGAGAACACATTTAACGCAGTAGAAATATAGATTGTTAGATTCTTTGCTTTTTTAAATAAGTCTTATCAAATTACTTTAACTTCATTATTAAGTCTGACATGTTCATGATAGTTGATTTTTCTGTGGGAGTGTTTTTTCATTCAACGAAATGTGTAGATTTGTCGATTCTCAACAACCTGCATCAATTTCATCCACGTTATTTTTCTGCCTTTGGCTCAAGAAGATGACATCCTGATTTTTAAAACAGTCTACGAAGCTCTGATTGGCTTGTTTTTTGAAGGACCAAGCAGCAGCGAGTGAAGACAACCACAGACCTACGTGACTCAGGGGAAAAAAAGATGCTAACAGTGCATTTATTTAAACTTCCATTAAAGAATAAGGTAATAAGAAATATAATCTTTATCAAACTGCACTACTAAACTAAAAAAACTGCACATTCAAATGGCTTTTAAAACTTTTAGGGGATTTAGAGCACTGCAGCTGATCTGCAGCAGGATATAATACGGACACATACATTTGAAAACTTTGCAGACTTTCCTATCTCTAAACTTTTTAATTTCCCATCCTCCTCGCTCCTGTGCCGACCCTGACCCGACCTGTAGTAAAAGCAGAGGCAGTCTCTCCCTGCCTTCCTCCCTCCCTCTAGTTCTCTGCGCTGCTTTGTCTTTATTCTGACCCCTACTATAATTGAGGTGAAGAAATGGTGGGTACAATCAGGATTTCAAAAAAAAAAGAAAACAGATCAGTAATTCTACGCATAAAAGTTTCCAAGCCTCTGAGAATAAATCTGATTCCGTGGCTGAATTTTAAAAAAGTTAGGGCAAGGGGCTTTTTTAGCCCTTCCCAGTACCTCCAGGGGAGAGAGACATAGAGAACAAATGCAAGAGAGAGAGAGAGTGAAAGTTGAGGCAGAGCCTGAGGGAGGGTGACTGATGTGGTGTGGTTCTGTCCACTTTATAATTAAAACAGTGGAGTCCAATTAGACTGGTCCCAAACCCCATGAGTGAGTGTGTGTGTGTGCGTGAAATCACTTACCAAATCAAAATTCAGCCAACCTTTGACCCCTGATAACAGCACCCCTGTGGCAGACGGTGTTTCTGTTGCCTTTTGCTGAGGCTCGGCTGTGTTTCTGTGTTTATTTTCTTGTTTCTAAGGCCTAGTCCACACGTCCACGGGTATTTTTATATAAGTTTTTCCTCCTTTGTTTAAAAAAAATCTCTGTCTACGTGAAAACACAAAAACACACTATCAAGCGCTGTCAAGAGCCTGCCAAACCACCAGGAGGCGATATAACCCCTAGCCATAAAGCCACATTGGCCAATCAGAGCCTAATAAAATCGTAAACAAAGCAGGCAGTGGCGAACAATCTGACATCAAATAGAGCAGATAACAACGCGCATTCTGACGTCGCAAGGCAAAAACTCCAGTTTTACTGTCTACACGACTACACTGCAACCAGCATTTCTTAAAATCTTCACCCTGGCAGGGGTTTTCAAGTGTTCAATGTTTCAGTGACCTGATACTGCGTTTCCGTGTGGACGAACGGCCAAACGGCATAGAAAAAGTGAAGGTTTTGAAAATACCCGTGTTCCTGTGGACTAATGAGGGTGAACACGCTAACAAATACCTGGACAATATAATTCAGTTCAATAAATTGGAGATTGAAGTACTGATTCGACTGAGGATCATTTCTGAGGCCGTACAGTTATTATAGTCAGAACGCTTAATTTTTACTTCATGTTTATATCATAACCAGAGGGAGGTATTTTGTACAAGCTTTGTCTATGTCCTTCCTGTGTTGTGAGCCAATCACTGAGCAGCACAAGCGTCCTGTGTTCAGTTTTCCATATCTTCAGAGCAGAATGCAGAAAAACAATATAAGCGCTGTACTACAACATAGATTGGAGATGGAAGTTTATTGTGTTTCCTAACGTTTGCTTTGTACCACACATCCTCCCACCGCAGTACCGCTGACCCCGGCGAGGAACCTGCGTTTCTCGGATGTGGACCACAGCTCCGCCCGGCTCACATGGGACTCCTCCTCCAGGAAGGTCAAAGGCTACCGCATCATGTACGTCAAGACCAACGGTGTCCAGACCACTGAGGTGAGGGGATCCTACAGGCTTTAGCCACTGGGAGAAGAAGTTACAACCCTTTTAACAGCTCTGACATACTTCTGCGTTTTTTTACCGAGTGAAATCTAACCCCTCCACCGCTCGCCCCTTACCCAATGTCATTGTCCATCCTGATGTTTCATCGTAGATATCATCTGAGCCCAACCCTAGTGCTCGGTGATGGGCCCAAACATCTGAACACCATCCACACTGCTCTCTGCGTAAAGAATAACAATTTAAAATGTATGTCATAGTGGTTTGGTCCTGTGTCTACAGGTGGATGTTGGCCGTGTGACAACCTGGTTGCTGAGAAACCTCACCTCCCTGACGGAGTACACAGTCGGTGTCTTTGCCGTCTATGATGAGGGACAAGCTGAGGCCGTGACTGACAGCTTCACCACAAGTAGGAACTAATATCAAAAGTATAAAGGCATCCTTATGATATAAAACTGTAGGACCCAAAAAATAAAGAGTGTGTACTTGTGGTGCGTAGAGACCGTCCCAGACCCGCTGGATATCAAGAGCAGTGACATCTCCACAAACAGCTTCAGGGTGTCGTGGCAACACCCGGCCTCTGATGTGGTGCTGTACCGACTCACCTGGACATCCACTGACGGAGGAGACAGTGAAGAGGTGTGTGTTCATATCATTTCGTACTTAGGTGGTGTAGATTTCTTCATAAAGTTGAAAAAGTTCAGTGATTTTACTTGAATTGCATTAGCTGAAGGTTTGCAGTGGAAAACCAGGATTATTCCCTGACCCTCACACATGAACAAGATTCTCAGGTACTTGAACTACTTGATTGAGGTAAGAAGTTGAAGAGAGCAAGCCACTGTTTTTAAGCAGAGCACCATCGCCTCAGACTTAATGTGTCAATTTGATTTAGTTACTGATAATTTTGTTTTTATTATTTATTTTTTATTTTATCTCTTTCATCCCAAGTGTGACAAAGAAGTCAAGGTCCTCACAAGTATAGCAACGCAGCATGTGTGTGGTCTTGGCCATTTGTCTCTTTTTCTTATTGCTGATTCAAACGGAGCCACATTTGATCCCATTTCTGATAAACTTCGAATCAGACGATTCGATATGAAATGACGCAGAGGTGATCATAGAAAGATTAAAGTCAACTCTCTCTGTCGCACTATTGATTCTCTCTCTGGGGGATTATCTCAGAGATGATAATCCCAAAAGCAAGACATGTCTAATTGGCCCATGTCAATAACCATTGACCTGTCTGTGTCTTCATGCACTGCAAATAAATTGCAATAAAATGCATCTTGCTGTGATGTAGAAACAGGTTTAAGATTCAGATTTTTCCAGCTCTCTGACTTTGGATTTGTCTGCATCAGCTGCACTTCAGCTCGTAACACAATCTCCATCCCTTTGTTTCAGGTTCTGGTGAACGGAAACATTAACACCTACCTGATAAAAGGACTCAGCCCCTCCATGGAGTACGAAGTCCTCCTTGCTGCAATCTACAGTAACGAGGTCGAGAGTGACGAGATGGTCCTCGTGGAGTCAACCGGTAAATTAAATGTCTCTACAAATGGTACCTGTTGTCTTAGGGTTAGGTTTGGTGCTTTACCTGCTTTGCTTACTGTTGTGTTTATCACCGAGTCGATCTCTAATCTTTCTTAACATCATATAGTTTCTTTTCTAATGTCTGTAAACAGAGCTGTTATTTTCCAGACTGAGACAAACACCAGGGAATCCTTAAAACTCTTTGTTAAACTTCTGTGAATTGATTTTTCAAGCAGCTCAATTAAATATTTGTCTTTGATTTTCAGCTGAAAAAGCAACCACCGCCGCTACGACCACCACCACCACCACCACCGCAGCAGGTAAATATTTCATTCCAGCTGTGTTCAGCTCGTGTTCCCCAGCATCTGGAATACATTGAATATCACTCATAGATCAGTTTGTTGCATGAATCTGTAGAGGTTGAGGACGACCAAAGTACTTACTGCAATAGTCTTTCTCAAGGAGCTTGTTATGAGCATTTTTCAGCATTTCCTGACTTAACAGATTATTGTTTAATCAAATGAATGAATAGATTATTGATAATGAAGGTAATCATCAGTTGCAGTCATAGATGTCATTATGTACATTAAGTATGTTTTTTTGTAATAATGTAGTATGTTTAGTGTAATAATATCATTAAAATGACATTTTGGAATTGAACTTTTCACTCTGTTTAACTTTAATTAAATTTCAGTGAGTTGCTCAAAAACAAACAGAGAGATTTAAATAAGTGACATTATCTAACAGCGTAGAAAAAAGTTTTTAGAACTGTTTTTAACATTGTAAAACTTCCAACTGAAAAAGAAAAGTCAGGGTTCAAAATTAAGATGATAACAGGTAGCTGAATTATAAGTTTGCTGGTGCTGTTTCATTGCTAGCGTTGTAAATCTTTCCCCACATCTTTAGATGGATGGTGTATCAAGGGTGAAGATGAAGGGTGTCAGATATTTTGCCACAGAGACTTTCTCAGGAAAAGTTTAGATATTGAAAAGAAGCTGATATGAAGTTGAAAAATAAATTAAATGTCAAAATTACGACATCTTGATATGATCAGTTGTTCTGATTCAAGTTGAAAATCATCTTACTATGACAGTTTTGTGCTTCAGTGAGTTTATGCTGATGTGAACTCTTTGACCTGTAGTGTGATTTTTATTTTTTTTTCTCTTCTCTGATCCTCCAGCTCCTCGTTTGGGGGTGAAGAACATGAGGATAGACGAGGAAACGACCTTCAGTATGCGGGTGGCCTGGCAGCCTGTCGACTCAAGGAACGTCCGACATTATCAACTGAGCTACATCAGCGCCAAGGGAGACCGAGCAGAGGAGACGGTAAGACAGAAAACTGTTTGCCTTGTTTTACCTGCTCAGTTAGGACATTTTAATTCAAGGTGGCAATTTCTTTTTGTCTTATAACTTTATTATTAATCATTTATTTTTTTATTATTATTGTTTTATTTGCGTTGGTGTGATTTCAGCTTAGATCTCACGTAAATCAAACAATGTGGATGGCAAATATTTTTGGGGATTTTTCCTTTAGATTTGTTCCCTTCAAACCAACCAAAAGAATGTAGTGGGTCATTTTAAAATAGGACATTTGTTGTAAAACTTTTATTGGCTGATAATTTGGATAATTCGTAATCAGTTATGTTTATGACTACAGTTGATCTGGGACATGCTGGCTCATTTTTCATCGAGTTGTCAGTGTTGTTTCATTTAAGCCACCTGCTTGACTGTAGTTGTACCTCAGAACTTTATTTTTACGAATACACAAAACGTTGTGTCATTTTTTGATTATACAAAGCAGGTCTGTGTGTCTTTATTAATACTGTGAAAATTTCAAAACGCCTAATTAACATCACAACACCAAGCGGCCATTCTGTCACTGAGCTATCAAGCTACAAGACAGAAAGATATTGAGGAAACGTTGCACGAACGCTGCACAATCGCTGGATGTCAGGAAGCCAACACATCATTGCAGTTTTCCCCACAAGACATGATCCATTATCCAGCATACTGAATACACTGATCAGCAGAGAAGAAGTGGATTGTGGTGCAGGAGTAGTTTGAGAAATTCCTTTGGATTTGTTTAAGCTTTTTGGTTGAGTATCTTAAGTTAAGGATTTGGTACATGTTTATAGTAATAATAATTGTGTAATTACTGTAGCCAATGGAAAGATGATTTGTTGTTGAGTTGTACAAGGTGTTTGGGTACTTACAGAAGGAACAAAAAGAGAACAATGTTGATTTAAACAAAGCCAAACCTTTAATGTGTCAATCTGTGACTTGATGAGTGAGGGAGATTATGAGGACTAAGGTAGGTCTTCTGATTAAAACTCCCCCATGGAGAGAAAGTGGGAGGGAGACAAAGATAGTGTTGTTGAAGTTAATGGCAGGCCTTCAGAGTCGAGTCGAGAGGAAGGCAGAGGGAGAAGAGGATAATGATGATGAAAACAGTGGCAGATCTTCAAAGAGTTTGTTTCACGAGAGGGAAAGAAAGAAAGGGAGAGAATGGCACTAATGAGCCACATCAGGGGAAAGAGAGAGGGGAGAGAGTCAGAGAGAGAGAAGTACAGTAGACTTTTATATAAAACAAACACTGATGCAAAAACATGCAGTTTTGCAATGGTGGAAATTTACATCGCACGTGAACATGCTTCACAGGCAAACATTAAGTTGCTAAATAGATGTTGATATGATGGCCGGATGTGCCAAAATGATCAGGATATAAATATCTTCTTTAATATCAGTTTCCAAATCTAGACTAGACTACAAGTTACGAATACAGACTAGAGAACAAGTTAGATGTATACAAGATCACACAAAGCAGTCATCACATGCATTAAAACACTAAAACAATATTATTTAAAATCAAATGTCTCAGTAGAATTAAGCTTCTTAGAGAAACAACTGTTCATTCCAGTAGTAAAGTGCATTGTAGTATTTTTTTTTTATATATACATTTACCAAATGCAATGATTTCACACGCTAACTAACTGCTTTTCTATTGAAATCCGAGTTAAATATAAAAAAAAAATCTAATCTATAAGTGCCCCACAATCCGCAAACCTATTTTAAAACTTGAAACTCAATAAAGTTCATATTCTGACTATTTTCAGCAGCAAATGAATCCACGTGTGGTGCTCTAGTATTTGGGATTTAGTAGATAAAATGCACATAAACTTGTGAATCTTCATCTGATGTTAAATTTGTTGACTATTCTTTATTTGTCATCTTAAAATGTATGCAGTAATCAATACCCCTGTGGCGTGGATGCACGTTAAAGATGCATCCTTTTTAGATCCTTGTTCTTGCTACATAGCTCCATCGTGGGCACCCTGTGACCATAGACTGTATAAAACAGTGTGACCAGTACGTCAGGTTAACAAATGTCAAAAAAAATAACTGCTATCCTGCGAGCACACGGCGGCTACCACTGTGGGGAAGCCACAAACTCACACACACATATACACACCTGTGTTTTAGAGTTGACAGGTGTGTGTTTGTGTGTGTGAGTTTGTGGCTTCACCACAGCGGTAGCCGCCGTGTGCTCGCAGGCGGCTCTGGCCACAGGTCCCACATCGGCCTTTTCATCCTAACCGGCCGCCAGCTGCCTGCACCGGTGGCCTGTTAAATGAGATCTCTTATCAAAGTGTGAACAGCTGTGGGTTCTGTTTGGCAATCCGGTCAGGTTATGAATCACCAAGTGCTGCACTCAATAGCTGCCATTTAGATGTCTATCTGCTGGAGGAAAAAAAATAAAACAAACTGGCAGGCTTCCTCTCCTGCTTTGTTCAAAGAAAGTTTCACTCCGTGGTTTGTGGCTGCCAAGGGAGGCCATAAAAAAAATAAATCAGAAAAATATCTCCTTTACATGCGATTGATTTTTCCGGATGGCAGTTATCCCGCTTCATCTTCACTGGAGGAATTTGCTAATAATTTGTGCAAAATTGTGGATGGCAGGTTGGCTCAGTCCTTGTTACCAAATCATTTCAAATTTAATTAAGTGACAAACTTTATGCAGCAATTTCATGCAAAGTGCTTTTCAGACATGATTAAAGACTGCATAAAAAAAAAGCATAATAAAAATAGACAGAAATAGTGTGTGTAACATCTTTAAAGCAAATCTACAACAAGACAACCACAATCTGCTCAAGTGTTTCTTCGCTGGGCTTCCTTGCGACCTTTGACCTCTCTAGAGGAAGTAAAACATTACATGCCATCCCTCATTGAGAGCTACATCTGTACTCCCTCTTATAGGCTTTAAATACCTTGGATGCAGTAATAGGATGCAACATCTATCCAAACCAGAGCATTAAGTACTGATGCACTAACTGAATCATCTTCTCTTAGATTTAAGTGTGGGCAGAACAATTTAGGGCCCGTGTCCACCAAAGCGTTTTTTGCCAGCTGAAAACGCCAGCTGCTCTTCTGAAAACACCCAGCGCGGAGTGCTAGCGGCAAAGATGCTCAGCGCCTTGTCACGCTGCTGGTGTTTTTTTTACCATGTTGTAATAATGCGGCGCTCCCATTGCAATGAATTGAAAAATGATGCTGGTGTCAGAAAAAAACTCTTTGGTGGACTTAAACATATTCAATGTGTTCTTTTAAGATGGAACTGTTTAGGGAAAAATGAAGATTTTTCATCATCATGGTGGTTAAGGTTCTCCAAAGTCCAAAACTTTCTCTTTAGTCTTGTTGCCTTTTTCCTCTGAACAGACAATTTGGAGAGTGAAAATTAATACTGTTACTGCCAAGTTCACACAATAGTTTGTAGTGATTTTTTTCTTTCTTCCTTGCTTTTATCCCTGAAAATTGACACTGATTTGTGTCAACCAGCTGTTCCACATTGTTTCATTAGACACTCAAATCACATTTACCAGAAAAACTCAGTGTTGCCATTTAAATCCCTGCCAAACAACTGTGCTGGCCGAACTGAAGACAAAACGTCTCCTGATGGTGCACCTGTCACTTGTAAATGTTACTCACAAAAATTTTGGACACACAGTGTGCAAGGAAATTGTTGAAAATGTGGTTGTATAGTCAAATTATTGCAGTTCAGATTATAAAATACAGACTTTGTCCAGCAGAGGGGACAGAAAAGGTACACGAGGCTCTTTCATCTGGTGTCAGATACTCTTGACACCGGGTTGTTTTTAAATCTTACTAATTAATATTATCATATGAGCAGTGACTCTACTGACTATAAGTAATGTTAAAGGGCAGTGACAACCCCACATAGCATTATGTGGCAGGTTTATACAGCTTTTTCTAGCCACTTTGCAGCACACTTCCTGTCTGGTTTAGTGTCAGTCTCCAGCAGCAGGCAGCTGTATTCATCAAACAAGCCCTAATTATTCCACCGTGTACAACCTGCCCAGCACCAAACAGCAGACAGACACAGTTAGAGACGAGTTTTAGTTCTTTTACAACGTTATCCAGAAGAACTTTATAAGGTGGTAAGAAGTCAAGGCTGTGTCTGGCACCTTGTTTTAGAGTTCTACTGCCCTCTAATGATCAAAAAAAGATAACCACAGCTTTAGAGCACACTACTTATTACACTAAGTTTGGAATTTCCCAAGAGCTCAGCTCTCTACAAGCTTATAAACATAAAAGTTAATGGTTATGCCCATTCAGATGGCTCTGTCACTATCTACACTGTAGCTGTGGGGCGACTCGACTCTGCTGCCATCTGTCCACAGACAGCTGTGATGCTGAACTCAGTGAAGCTTCGTTATTTCCCTGTACAGTTTCATTCAGTGTCCAATAAACCAAAGCTGCCGGGCATCAAGTGCAATTCCACTGTTTGTAAACAGAGTCTCGGCTATTGTTTCTTGGCAACAAAATGTTGTTCCAGGAGGTAAAAATGTAGGCAAAGGAGGATTAAAAAGTTTTAGGTTTTCCTTCTGTCACAGATTTTCAGCAGCTGACACAGGTCTGGCAAAGAATCCAACTCCTCTTTAAGTCTTTTTGCCATCCTTGAAAAAGTGATTTTTCCATTCGTTCATTTTGAGTGTCATTAACAAATCAGACATGAAACCAATAGTTTACTAAACAATTAGTAAAGCTTTATTTTAATGTGAGTCAGTATTGTTATTTATTCATGTGAAAATGTCATGGATTCAACATTTTCACTTCCAGTTTCTACTTGAATTTGCACTTGAATTTGCACTAACAACACTCAAGACATACTTTTTTTTTTTGTTATTGTATCTTTTATGGTGGGTTTGATCTTTGTAATTTAAACTTTTGGTTATTTATAATATCCAAGTGTTGAAGTTCATCCAGTGTGCGCATTCATTGTTGAGAAGTTTCATCCAATTGTCTGGAAA